AGTGGTCGGCATAAGCGCACACCAGTTCCCCTATGGAATGACCTACTATTCCGTCGGGTTTGATGTTGAGTGCCTCGAGTACATCGACTAATGCTATTTGAATGGCAGTTAACGCTATGAATGAATTGAGTGGACATTGGATTAGATCTTCATTTTTATCCAACAAAATACTCATTAAATCGATTCCGTATTCGTTTAGTATATTAGCCGACGATTTCAATGAATGGGCGCACATCTCAATGTGCATTAAATCCCTGGCCATTGCCGGCCACTGACTACCCATACCAGAAAACACAACCCATAGTTGCGGTCGACATTTATTAACTTTATTCACATGAATGTATTTGCTTTCTATACTGTTATGATTTTTAGTCAAAAGTGTGAAACCTCTGTATTTCATGCCCGCAAACCCTGTGGTGTCGGTGCGATAGGCACTGGTCTTTGAAATATCAGTAATTAGGGCCAAAAAGTCGCGGCCAAGCATTGTCTTGTTGTTAACGATGTGTGTCAGTGCACTCTGGAGTGTCTGTTCAGTGCGGCCGCACATCATCACAAGTCTGGGCACTTGACCCACAATAATATCCCGGTTCTCATCGGCCGGTTGTTTACTATCCGCGCGTACAATGACGTGAACGTTGACCCCTCCGAACCCAAAACAGTTGAGTCCGGCTAATGGACTGTCAAACGTCGTGTTTTCTGTGATCGGCTTTAATATACCGGAGACCAGGCCTGGGATGTTGGGGTTGGGAGTAGTCATGTGAAGATTAGCGGGAATGCATTGCTTCTCAAATGAAAAGATGACTTTCGTTAGAGAGCACAGACCGGACGACCCCTCCGTGTGACCTATGCTTGACTTCAGAGCGCCGATAAGTAACGGCTCGGTTCTGCCTGTGCTTTCAAATCACACGATTAGATGGATAGGCGAATGAATAGCTGGATGACATACCTGTGCACATGGCCGCCTCTATCGCTGCCATCTCGACGGGATCGCCCGCCTGCGTGCCGGTGCAGTGCGCCTCCACGTACTTCACGTCCAACGGATTAACACCCGCCTCGCTGTACGTCTCTCTCATTAGAGTGGCCTGTGATGTAGTGGACGGGTATGTGATTCCCAACTCTTTGAAGCCATCCGTATTAGTCTTGGTGTGCATAACCGTCGCGTAAATACGTTTGGCTACACCCTTGCGCTGCAATACCAGTGCCACACAGGCCTCGCCCTTCGCGTAGCCGTTGGCGTCGCTGTCCAGACATTTGCAGTGGCCGTCCGGTGATATCATATTTAGTTTATAAAACTGCAATTGTGTGGTCGCTCGTAAGGACATATTAACGCCCACCACTATAGCCGTATCGCACTGTCCACTCCTCAGAGCGCCCATAGCCTCGTGAAGGGCGCAGAAACTGGAGGCGCAGGCCGTGTCCAACACCATCGACGGTCCCGTGAAGTTGAAATGAGTACAATAATTTTAAATTAATTTGCTTTTATTTTCATTTTTACCATGTATGCCAATTATGAATGTTTGGTTAACTCTTTTTGTTCATTTCAAAGCACACAAGAAATTAATTATTTTTTTGCTAATATATACTCACTATAGGGAGAGTTGGTTAGTGTATATATAGACAATGGGTTCACAATGGTTAACAATAATAAATGAAATTAAAAACAAAATTATTGACTCCAATAACTTCCTAATGAATAACTCGATCACAACCACAACGTGTGTCCCATAAGACTGTCTGTCATCGGCTCTCAATAACCCAAATGCAACCACTGTTCGGTTCACTGGCTGTACATAACATTAATTTCATTATTGATTTGCTTTCCATTCATTGTGTGTAACAGTTAATTGAAATCATTTAACACAATGTTGCCAATTTAAATATTTTGCTAACTTTTTGTGTCAATTCTATACTTTGATTTGTAATTCTTATAGCAATATATCGTATTAAGTATGTTATTTCCTATGGAGTATAATAATGTTTTCATTTATATCTTACGTATTAGCCAGGACTATATTTAATTTATAATAAAAACTATCAAGTCGAAAAATAATAAGATTATTGAGTGAAACAAAATGAATAAGAAGTTTGCGATTAAAGAGGATATAGTGATCAGTGGCATCGCCGGTAGATTTCCAGGTATGTGCCCATGGAGTACTTTGCTACTATCATAACCAATTATTAATATTGATATTCATTAACTGTAATTAAAATTGAAATATATCACAGAATCAGATAACGTGGATGAGTTTGTCGACAATTTGTATGCAAACAGAGATATGGTTGTGGAGGACGAGAGGCGCTGGCCTTTCGGTATGTCTGCCCTCAATGTCTGTCTACCAGTCATTACATATAAAAATCAAACTCAATATAAATCTATTTATGGTCTTTGGCTACTATACGAGTGGGAAAACTATTTTTTTATACCACTTACTGCGGCTTTTTATCTCGATTTTCTCATTTATTTAATGCATTATGAAATCAGAGCATATAATCACATAATGTTTGCGTACATTAATAGGCTTTTTAGGTCTTCCCAGAGGCAGTGGTAAACTTAAGGACATCAGTAGATTAGATACGAAATTCTTCGGCATCAGCGAGAGTGAGGCCAATTTAATGGACAGTCAGATCAGGATTATGCTGGAGATCACGTATGAAGCCATTTGGGACTCAGGTATGTCTACACAATCACAGCATAATGTTCACTAATTCCCTATCCTTTTATATTCTTATAAAATGAAATCTTATTTATTTTTTCAAGTTTAAGCCCTATTTTTGACAGTTTCTGCCAATTTATATGTCAGTATAAGGAAACGAAAAAACATTATAAACATCTGAAATAAAAATGAAACAAAATTTATTTGTGATATATTTTTAAGAATTCATTCATACCTTAAATGCAATACTTCTTGTGATAACGTATTGATTACTACACGAGAAACCAATTAATCGTTTCCTATCACTCACTCTCTCCATACATACCATTAACTAAATGGTAATAAAATACATAAAATATAAGTCAAGAATATTTAGAAAAAATATTTCAAATGCTTACCTTTAGTTTGTTATTAAGTTTAATGACATAATAATTAGCAAAGCTAAAGCTCGACAGTGATTTAAATGTCAGTGAAATGCCTTTATTAATATCAGATGCGATTAAATTTAGCAAGAACAATAATAATAGATTGAAACTAGCAAATAAAATATAAATTAATCTCATTATAGCCATTGAATTCTCGAAAAATATCAATTGAACCGCCAGACTATTAATAGGATGAAATGTATAACATATGATAAAGTACACATTTTTCCAGAACCTATTATGTAACTCAATATCCAGGCAGAGTTTGTTATGATTTATAATAAGTTTATTTAATATCTTTTGCCTTAAAAGCAATTTTTTCGATTCGGTTCTCATTATAAAAGCTTTGAAACATTTTATACGGAATTGTAAATAATAACAGACCATTAGGTAATAGAAAATTGAGTAAAACATGGACGGGAGCACCGATAGTGGGAACAGTAGGTAGATGACCGCCGTTAATAAGCCATAGATTATTAAATCCGATGAGAAGTAATTCAAAGGGATTATTATACAAATTAATAGTATGGATGAAAAGAAAGTGAATTTAATGTTTAGGTTAATGATTGAATAAATAATCTTGATCCTTTTAATGTAGTTGTCAATCAAACACCTATCGTATAAACCAATTGATTGAAAAGCTTTGTTTCCATTTATAGCACCGATTATGTCAAACCATTTATAATCAGTTTCATTACTCGTATTTAATATCAAGATAAGTCTTAGGCTTAATATATGCATTAAAATACAGCCGATGTATAAAAACTCCTTAAAATCACTCCAATATTGCAAGAAATCCAAGTAATAAAGTGGTAATCGTTTGAAAGGTTCACTTTTATAGAAATAAAATGCATAACGAATTATATTTAAAATTATAACTAAGATTACTGCCAATACTTTAGAAATATGTAGAAATAATTGGGTGTTTGAGATATTTTTGTCGTTTATATTGAATCTACAAAATATCCAATATTTATACAGAGGTTTTTCGATATTTGATAGTTTTGTAGGACTCATGTTGTTTAATCCAAACTATTAAATCTATAAAACTTAATAAATGCTTATTAATACAAGAATATAACAAGTTACCAAAACAAGAATTTATGTACCGGTAATTAAAATATTAAAATATTTTTATCTGTTAAAAAATTAAAATACTAATAAAATTCATACTATAGTTTTCTGTATATTCTGCGAGTGAAATCAAGCTTGTTAATTTGCAATTAATATAAGAAATATGAAGTTCATCAGTTCTTAATAAATTATAAGTTGTAATCACTAAAAATATATATGATAATTAGTTTAAAATATCATTACTTTAATTATTGAGAAATAATATTGAGTACCGGTATTCGCAACATAAATTAAATTATGTTCATAATGAACATTAAGGAATTTGCCCTCAAAAACTAACTTCTATATGACATAAACTCAATGTACTGTACTCTATTACAATTCTTTATTACTGGATTAAAGTATAAATACATTTATATACCGGGTACTGGGTACATTAATATACACTCAATGAAATTATGTTGAATCTACAGGTGCACTTCTAATATTATACTGTAGTACCGTAGTAACATACAATTAATACTAAAATTAGAAATACAGTATAAGTGATATTTCTTCACAATTTCTATTCATTTACTCATTTAATGATATACTATACTAATTTACTGTATAGGTATGGATCCCAATGTGGGGTTTTTCGATATTTGATAGTTTTGTAGGACTCATGTTGTTTAATCCAAACTATTAAATCTATAAAACCTAATAAATGCTTATTAATACAAGAATATAACAAGACAAAAATTGGTGTAATTAAAATGTTTTTATTTGTTAAATTTAAAAATTAAAATACTAATAAAATTCATACTATAGTTTTTTGTATACTATTCTGAGAGTGAAATAAAGTTTGTGCATTTTCAGTGAATATTATGAAGTTCATTAGTTCTTAATAAATTATATCTTAATAAATATATATATGATAATTAGCTAAAAATATCATTATTTTAATTATTTGTAAATAATATTGTGCTTTCGCAACATAAATTAAATTATGTTCACAATGAAGATTACTGAATGTGCACTCAAAAAACTTACTTCTACACAATCTTCTGTATATGACATCGACTCAATGTACAGTACTCTACATGTATTATAATTCATTATTATGGTACTACCGGTAGATATGTAAATACATTAACATACACTCAATGTAATTATGTTGAATCTACATTGCACTGCAAATATTATATGCACTCGTTATACAATTAATACCAAAATTAGAAATATAATTCATATTTCTTCACAATTTCTATACATTTACTAATTTAATGATATAATAATACTTATACTAATTAACTCCCACTGTATAGGTATGGATCCCAATGTGTTATGTGGGACGAGCACCGGCACGTTCATCGGCAGCTGTTTCGATGAGGCTCCCAGTGCCCAGGCCGAGGACTACTCCAAAGTGGTCGGCTATAAGCAACACTTCGCCGGTCGCATCGCACAGACATTCAACTTCACGGGACCGTCGATGGTGTTGGACACGGCCTGCGCCTCCAGTTTCTGCGCCC